ACACTATCTGATAGAAATTAGATGCTTCTGTGTTACTTTTGTTCATAATTAGGTAGTAAAGAGTTTAGTAAAAATTTTAAGACTTCAAGATTCTACAACGGGTTAAGTTATGAAGAAGGCAATAAATTACCACACAAATCCATTTTATGAAGCTTCTCACTCTCTCCTTAGTTGGTTCCCTTAAGACTATCTGGCCATTAAATGGGGTTTTTACCAGTTACTAATTAAACTGATGTTTTATATTAAGAATGTCTTTTTAATCATTTTGTAATGTTTTGTGTGAATTTTTTCTAATTACTAGCAATCTGGATTTAAAAACTCTTAAGAGTAGACACTCATAAGGGATATATAAAATTACATACCACTTTAGTAGCTATATTTAGATTATTAACTCCAAATTTATAAGCATTTTGTTACATACACCCCCCCCAAAAGCATATTTATGAGTGCTCTAATAACAAAGTCTGAGAGAAAAATAGAATGGTACAGCAGAAAGAGCACTGGCTCTGGAGACAGAGAACTTGGGTTCAAATCCTAACTCTGAAGCTTCCCACCTGTCTGACTTTAGGCAAGTCACTTCACTTCCCTGGGCTTTGGTTTCTTTTTCTTTCCTTTCCTTTTTTTTTTTTTTTTTGGGCATTTGAGGTTAGGTGACTTGCCCAGGGTCACACAGCTAATAAGTGTTGAGTGTTTGGTCCTGAGGCCGAATTTGAACTCAGGTCCTCCTTACTTCAGGGCCGGTGCTCTATCCACTGCTCCACCTAGCTGCCCCTGGGCTTTGGTTTCTTTGGACGGTGGGACTAAGGTTTTTTTCTTCTTTGGAATCACAATCTGGGCAATACTTCCAATGACTGCTTATAGAGCAGATTCTTAAGGCAATAAAAATGCTTTGTTTTTTAAAAAATAATAATTGACTTTCGCTCAGTAAAACTTTGCAAATCTTAACTGATGAGGGTAGAATGATACCCAGGATAAAAGCCATTGGACTTGATTAAGAGGTCATCCTCTTCTCATCCCTATCCAGAAATATATATCATCTCTACTGTGGGCAGCTGGGTAGAGTAGTGGGACAAAGTGCTAGACCTACAGTCAGGAAGGCCTGAGATCAAATTCTGTCTTAGACACTTATTAGCAGCATGATCCTGACAAAGTCATTTAACCTTTTTGGGCCTCAGTTTCCTCATCTGTAAAATGAGGGGGATGGACTTGATGACTATTAAGGTCCCTCCCTCTTTTATAACCACACTCTTAGAAAAAGCTTTTTTCTCTCTTTGCTGCCATTTCCTTCACTTTTCAACACTTTGCAATGTAGCTTCTGACTTTAATGGAATGAGATTGCTCTTAAGTTGCCAATGATTTCTCAACGGCTAGATCTGGTGGTTGTTTCTCCTTCCTTATCCTTCTTGAGCTCTCTGCAACATTTCACACTGCTGATTGCCCTCTCATCTCTGGTTTTTTAATGACACTACTTTCTATTGGTTTCCCTTCCTTGTCAGTCTTCTATGCTGGATAATGTTCCACACCCTGCCCCCTTACTGTGGGTGCACTCCAAGACTCTGTCCTGGTTCCTCTTCTCTTTTTATACTCTTTCAGTGACATCATCAGCTCTTATGAGTTTAATTAGCATCTCTGTGCTGATGACTCCCAGATCTAAACATCTAGTCTGGTTCTCTCTCCTGGATTATAGAAGTTGAAACAGCACTGGCTCTAGAGTCAGAAGACCTGGGTTCAAAATCTACCTTCAACACTTAGTACTTGTGTGGCCTTTGGCAAGTCACTTGATTTCCCTGGGCCTCAGTTTTCTCATCTGTAAAATCAGGGGATTGGTCTCTGAGGTCCCTTCCAACTTCAGATAAATGATCCTATGATCCCACATCACCAGTTTGGTGGAAATGTCCAGCTGGATGGGTGTAGTCATCCTCAGCTCGTCATTCTCCCTTACCCCAAATATTCCATCAGTTGCCAAGTTTCCTCTATTCTACCTTCATGACAACTCTTGAATCAATCTCCTTCTCTCTATTACTATGGCCACCATTACAGTTCAGGCTTTCAGGCACCTCTTGGTTAGAGTATTACAAGAGCCTCCTACATGGTCTTTGTGCCCCAAGTCTCCCCCTTCTCCAACCATCCTCTACAAAGGAGCCAAAGTGATTTTCCTAAAGCTCAAGTCTGGCCACATTACTCCGATTCTCAAATTCCAGTGTCTATTTCTAGAGTCAAAAGCCCTTCACAACCTCACTCTAACCAGTCTTTCCAGCTTTATACGTCACTCCCCCTTTACACTCTCCATGATCCAACCAAATGGGCTTTCTTGCAGTTCTTCACACAATACTCCATCTCCTGTCTCTATGCCTTTGAACAGGCCATCCACACTTGTAATGTACTCCTCCTAGACTTTACCTTCTAGAATCTCTAGTATCCTTCAACTCAGCTCATCTTCCAAAAAAGTGTGACAAAACAGGAAAGACAAAGACAAATAAGGACAAAAAAAAAAAAAACCAAAAGAAGAAATTAAAAAAAAAAACCCCTTGTTTTGAAGAAAATCAAGAAACCTGAAAAATGCAGCTTATTTGTTATTTTTAAAGCATCTTGGCATAATAAAAATGAAATCTTTATCTAGGAGATAAAATTTTTGTTAGGAGAATAAGAATTCAGATGATTCAATGGTATAACTACAATGATCAATTCTAGACCAAAAGTCACACTAATAAATGTTATATCCAATGCCTAGCTTACTTTAATAACTTCAATACACTTGCTATTTTCACATCTTAAAAACAACTAGGAAGAGAACTTTGGGGAACGGTAGTTACTATTTGAACCTCTAAGGCAGCATCAGTACGAGCCATGTATCACTTTGAGAAAATCATATTTTCAAAAACCCAAATATATAACAAGTAAATTAAGCTGTGATTATTCTCTCTTTGGATTTCTCTAGTACCCTCTCAGAATAAATGATTTAATTAATAGATAACCTTTCAGGACACATTGCAAATTGACTACAATTATAAGTCAACACATAATTACCCACAGTTTTTCTATACAGAAAGCATCATGTTACTATAGAGAAAATAATCTTGTATAATGCAAAAATGACCTTAAAAACACAGGTAATTAAACATGATGTAATGAGAGTTTCCCACTGCTTCACACTGTGCTACAGCCACAAGGGCTGGAAATAATTTTATATATATGAATTTTGAAGAATATAGTGTTTAAACACATGACAACATTAAAACTCAACTTTCTTAAGACCCTTGTTATCACAGCTAGAATAGATCTGTTTTCTGGAGATTACTTTCCTACACCACATCAGAAGATCTGAAATCTAATAAGATAAACTGAACAAGCACTTTTATACAGGATGTCTTTCCTGATAGGCCCAGGAAAATCACTGTAGTTATAATTATATTTTGGACTAACTTCGGGTTAAGAAACTTAAAATTTTACAATCAAAAAAGGCTTTTCTATTAGTTTTATTAAAAAACAAACAGTATCAGACTCAGCCCTAAGAGTAACTTACAAATCCAGCATCTTATAATCATTTATTAGCTAAAGAACTCTCTCTCTCCCCTTCCTACCCCCTTTAAAGAAAATCACTAACATTTAGAAAATGCTATTGTAAAAAGGATCGATTATTTTAGTGATGACTGATTCAAAACTGAAGTCCCACCTTCTGCAAGAAGGCTTTTTCTAGTTCTCCTGAATCTTCGTGCCTTTCCTCTGTGATCTTCTCCAATTTATCCCGTAGAGTATATATCTTGTTTGTATTTAGTTATTTGCACCATTAGACTGGGGTTCCTTGAGAGCAGGGGCTTTTTCTGTTTGTTTTTTTTTTGTATCCCCAGAACTTAGCACAGTGCCTGCCTGGCACAGAGTAGGCACCATAATGTTTGTTGGCCCAATCTGACATAGAGATTTCTTTACTACTGTAAAGCATCAAATGACAGCCTTTATAAAGCTCTCCCTAAATAACTCATTGGGTAGAACTAGCTACACATAGCTACACCAAAATCATCTTCTGAAATATAAAGAGTTTCACTTGGGGTGAAGCACCAGCTCAACTAAATTTATTTTCGTCTAGAACTAAAAACGCGCACACACACGTAATAGTTTTCAAGCAAAATATATAAGTACATCTATCTACCTGCTTAAAAATTAATCTTTTTCTATTTAATATAAATTTAGGAATTCAACATAAATTAAAATTTACAAGACAGGCTTCTGAAGGCTCTCTTCAAAAAACTGAAATTAATTTGCTTTCAAGGAGGCATCTTCGGGGAGTCTTGGCTGATAATCCAAGCGGGGTTTGAATTAATGTTCATTTCTTGGGAAAAGAACTGTTAAGTAGAACTTTTCATAGCTTCAAGTAAGCACTACTTCAAATATAAGCTATTTTCTGATGACAAAATAGTCATCAAGGTCATGAAAACAATTCATAAAAAACGCTCACGGTTGGTCTATTTTAAAGAACCTAAAAACAAATCTCAGCAACGGGACCCTATTGGCAAACACTATAGTTTTTCAACGTGAGATATGCCTAAGCATCTTCCCCTGCTGATACAAGGGTCAGAAGATGCTGTCAGGAAATGACGGGAGGCAGGGAAGGCATCAGCACTGGAGCAATGGCCCAATACTTGTTCATGAGGGGAAAGCATAAACTGGGGAGGGGGGAAAGAAAAAGCAAAAGTAGAAGCCTGGATACGTTGCTTAAAAAAAAAAAGTCACTACACACTGTCATGTGTGTTTCCTGAGACCGAAGGGAAACCACAAAAAAAGGTAAATAAGTTAGATGCTGGAGGGAGTCTTTGGAAGGAGTTGTGGGGGACAGGGTGCTGGGGTCGAGGGGCGCACAGCTCAGCAGCAGCATCCAGGCGAGCACGGAGACCCCAAAGTGGGGCTCACCGGCGCTCCCGCCTCTCCCCGTATCCTCCCGCGCCCCCCACCCCGGCCCCTCTGCAGGGCGCTCCCCGCCCCCACCTTGCCCGCAGGACTCTCACCTTTGCCGCTGGACCTCCAAGGTGAAGCCCGCGCTGGTCTGCGTGGGGCTGAGGAGCCCTTGCGGGGTTGGGGGGGCGCCCTTGCCCCCCAGCACCGACATGCCCGCGGCGGCCGCGGCCCCGGCAGCGGCAGAGGGGGGCGCGGTGAGCGGGGCGGGCGAGCCCAGCTGACCCCCGAGCAGCAGCAGCTGGGGCAGGAAGACGCCGCATCGGGAGCCCGGGGGCTCGGCTTCGCCGCGGGCCGGCGGCAGGGGACTGTCCTTGGGCAGCTGCAAGAGCAGGGCCGGGGCTGGGGGAGGCCCGCTGGGGGCCCCGGGACGGGACGGCCCGACGGCGGAGGGAGGCAGCGGGTGCCCGGCGGGGGACTCCCCGGCTGCCGCCGCCTGCCCGGACGCGCTCTCATCCGGAGTCTGAGGCGGGGGCTTCTCGCCGCCAGGGAAGAGGCTGGGGGGCCGGCCATCCAACGAGATATTGTTGAGGAAGAAGAGGGCGGCCTGTCGGCGGCGGGAGTCGCCCCGCTTCCTCAGCTGCGGAGGGTGGCGGGGCGCCGGGTGCTCCCTGGGGGTTGGCGGGGTCGGTGGAGGCTTGGAGGACGAGCCGGTGCCGGTGGCGGCGGCGGCGGCGGCGGAGGCACAGGCTGCTGAAGACGAGCCACCCGCCGCAGCCGCAGCCATTCTCTAAATGAGCCGCAGCGGCCCCAGCCGGCCAGAGTGGCCCTGTCGGGAATGCGCACGCCCATCGCCCATTGGCCACGGCGCGTGGGCATGCAAATAAGAGGATCTTTTGAGGAATTCTATTGGGTACTCTGGCTCGGGGGGGCGGGCCAAGCCTTTCTCCAGGGAATGCTCCTCTGGGTCCTAGAGGCTGTTGAGATTAGGTCTTGAGGGAGAGGCTGGGCTGCCCGCCCGTCCCCCCCGCGGGGATAGATGAGCGGCCAAGTGGCTGCGCGGGTTGGGAGGGCGCCAAGACGCCCTGCGCCTCCCTCGTAGTGGGTTTGAATTCAGGCCTGGGGAGGGGTGCGAACACTGGAGTCATGGCTGATGCCCCGCTCGTGCGAGAGATGGGAGCTTTCGCTCACTTGCGAGGCTGCAGGTGGGATAGTCCTTTGTTGTTGAAAGCTGAGGAAGGAGCGGTTTGATCTCCCGCTTGCTTTCTTTGCTTCTCCCGCACTGGGCTCGAGGAGTCGGGGCTGGAGCTGACCTTGGGAAGGGGAAGGGACCTCGCGTCTCTTCATGTGTTTACAGAAGACAAAGGAACTACTCCACACTCTTGATGATGCCGTCTTTATTAATATTGTTATAATAAATTATGCAGTAGTGATAATGACATTGAGCTTTATCACTGATCTCCATGGAAGAGTTTTCATTTATAGAATGCTGGAGATCACCTTGCTTCAGTCCCTTCGTCTTAAGGATAGAGGAGGACACTGAGTTCCAAACATAAGTGACTTGACCAAAGTCACACCAAGGGGGCAGATAAGTGGCTCAGTGGATAGAGCTCTGATTCAGGAAGACCTGAATTCAAATTCGAACACCTTGTTGTGAGGATCAAATGAAATAATATTTATAAAGTGCCTGGCATATAGTAGGTGCTTTATGAAAACTTACAAATACATACATATATGTGAAATACACACACACTTGGAAGCCAAGTGTTACAACTGCACCAGAGCCTAGAGAGGTACTGCCTAGAGACACTGCTACCACTCAACACAACCTTCCAGTAAGGTCCCCCAGTATTACACCATATATATGCATGCCTATGTATGTGTATACACACATATATGCACATATATACATACACATATATGTATATATGGAAGAATATGAATAAGAAAGCACAGAGATGTTCACTCAAGATATTTGATATCGTATCATAATATATTTTATGTGTATGTATAAACTGGCTCTATGAAGGAGAAGGGAGCATATGCACACACATACGTGTGTGTGTATCTAAATTGGCTATATGAAGAGGAAGGGAATACACACATATGTAATATAATTTTAAATATATATGTGCATGTATATATAAATTTAAAATTATATAATTATATTTCCCCTTCATATAGCTAGTTTAGAGGTAGAACTGGGACCAGAACTCAACCTTAGACTCTGAGTACATTACACCCCATTACTTTCTTTTGTGGTAAGGTAGGTTGCTTTGAACTCTTATCCCCACTGGTTTTACTTATGGAAGTAGTAGAGAAACCTTACCATGAGGCTATATGGAGTGGCCAGCAGTGTATCTAGAAGTATTTCTAGGTTCCAGTGCAATTATTATCATATAACATTCAGTTTTCAAATTCTTAAATGGCTTATTTACAGCAAGTAAAGGCATCCTTCATGCAGTTGTCCTAACTTCCCTGTTCTTCTCCAATCTCCTGCCGTTGTGTTCCAGCAGACTTCAAGGTCCAGATCTCAGAATATCTAGAGACAAACAGGATTGGGCTCACCTGAGGGCATACAGAATGTGACTATTTTAATATATTCCATTAACAATTGACTGTGATTTTGGAACCACAGGCTACAAGTGCTGGAAGGGACCTTAAAGCCCTCTCACTTTACAGATGAGGGTGTGTAACTTGCCTAAATTCATGCATCTTACTTATAACAAAGTTGGGGCTGGGCCCAGGTCTCCATCACTCTTTCTGCCTCACTATCCCTACCTCAGGTATTTTCTTGCTGCTCATCTTTTTTTATGTTCTCTGAGTTCTTGATTCTCCCATTTATCTGAATTCGTGGCCGGAGGTGTTGGCACAGATAATTCCAAAGAGTGAGAAATTAAAAACTCATTTGTAGTTGGATTTGGAATGCAATTTTCTGTAGGGTACTAATGTGTAATTATGTGCCAATCAGAAACACTAATGGTTTGTGGAGAGGATGGAAAGAGATCTGATTGGGGTTTAGGCCAGAGACAAGCTACTAATGGATAATTGAGAGTTGACTGTGTCTCCATTTCTAAGCTTTTTTTTTTTTTAGGTTAGAAAGAATAATAGCAAGGTTACAATTTGGCATGTCATCACCCTTCGTGTTCCCCCTCTCCCTCCCCCCCCGCCCCCGCCAGGTTAAAATGCAGATTAACATTTCTTGTGAATGATCAGAATTGTCCCTGCATAGCATGAATGTGTGAAGGGACAAGCTGCTCCCTATGTTTCCCTTCTTCCTCCAATTAATTTAGACAAAGAGTAGGCAGGGCCTAGGGTTCATGATAACTATTTGCACACAGGCATGGGCTGTCAACACAGATATACTAGTATATATACACATATAGACACACACATAATATGTGCCCAACTTTCAACTGATCCATCTACAAATATTTATTAATAATAATATCTAGCATTTATATAGTACCATAACATTTGCAAAATGCTTACAAATATCTCATTTTATACTCACCACAACCCTGGGAGATAAGTGCTATTATTATCCCCTTTATAGATGAGGAAAACTGAGGCAGACAGAGGTTTAAATGACTTGCCTAAGAATCACACAGCTAAGAAATGTCTGCGGCTAAATTTGAACTCAGGTCTTCTGGAATCTAACTCCAGTAACCTATTCATTTCATCACCTGGTGGCCTCACTCATTAAGCACCTAATATATGCCAGGTGCTGGGAATACAAGGACAAAAGTGAAACAGTCCTCATCCTTGAGGACCATACAATCTGTCCAGCAAAGATAACATGTACATGTGTAGGAATATACAAAATACATTAGGAGTAGATATAAGTTAATTTGAGGGGAAGAAGGAGACCAGCAGCAGAGAACTTCATGGAGAAGACAGCACTCAAGCAATGAGTTGAAGAAAACCGACAAGGGATTCTAAAAGGCAGAGATGAGGAGAGTGAATTCTAGTCATGGCAGACAACCAATTCAAAGGCCCAGAGGAAATCACACTTTTGGATCTGGAGGGAACTTTCAGAGGCCAGTGACATCATAAGACCTGCACTTTAGGAAATCACTTCAGCAGCTGTGGGGAGAGACTTGAGGCAAGAAGATGTTTAAGGGGGCTATTGTTTAAGAAAACTTGATATGGGAAAAGTCATCTTTACACAGTCCCTTAGTTAGGTGACCTAGGTTCTAATTCACATTTTCTTAAGCTATTTTTTGTATTATAAACTCAATTGTAGACTTAGAGTGATGTTTTAAAATTCACAAAATAAAATGCATAGGATCATAAAGAAAACCAATTATGTTGAAATATAGTGATCAAAATAGATTTTAAAAATTAGTTCATAGACCCCAAGTTAAAAATCCTCATTCTAGTTCTTCTTCCATACATCCCAAGAACTTTCTATGTGACATTGGGCAAATCCTTTTTACAGGGCCTCGGTTTCCTCAAGTATGAAATGAGGGGATTGGGTCAGATGACCCCTGACTGTTGCATTGGGTTTTCCTCTGTCTGTTCTGTTTAGCCTCAGACTTTTGGAGGGAGGTAATTTCTCTCCAATTATCCCTACCTCCTCCTTCAATTCTGACATTCTCTGAGTGTTGTCAAGCACTGAATTTTCAAGAGATGTGTGACCGAGCTCAATCACAGAGGATCAGATATGTTGCTGTAGATTGAGTCCTAGACACATGCCAACTTCATGCAGATCCTTCTTTTTTCAGCTCCTCAGGTCACTTGAGTCTATGCCAGGGGTTCCTAAACCATTTTTGTGTCATAGACCCGTCTGCCAATCTGGTGAAACCTATGGGCCCCTTCTCAGAATAATGTTTTAAATGGATAAAATAAAATACATTGGATTACCAAGGAAGTCAATTATATGAAATAGTGATAAAATACTTTTTTTTCTCATGTAAGTTTATAGACGTTCTGAAATCTATCCAACTCTCAGGGTTTATTTAAGGCCGAATGAGATAATATTTGTAAAGTGCTTACCACTGTGCCTTGCCTATAGTAGGAGTTTAATAAATAAATGTCCTTTGGAGTTAAGAACTCCTGGGCTTGGAGAGACCTTTTCCTATCTGCATGGTAAATGCAACCTCATACTGGTTGTGTTAGACTCTGAGAATGTTAGATTCTGAGATATGATATACTCTTTGTCTAGAATCAGTACCTCTGGACCTTTGCCTGGAATATAGACCTCAACTATAGGACCTCCCACCCCCAGAAACTCGGGGAACCCAAACAAATCAAGAGGAGATCTCAACAACTTTCCTCAGCAAGATAGTCTTCAGCTAGAGCTACACGGACCAAGCAGAGAGGAACCTGGCACACCTGACCAGTTAAACTGAGGTATTGCACCACTTTGCAGAACCTGATCTGGCTCATTTGTTCCCATACTGTCTGGACACTACACCATGAATGTTACCAAAGGTCAGCCAGTCTGACATCTTGCTCAGTAACACCAGTCTTTTCCACTGATCCCGCGTAATTGATCTCTCCTTTCTAACCCAGAAACATGGAACTGCTGGAATGGATCTCTAGTACATTGCTCCACCTATATTCCTTCATTCCAGTACCTATTGCTAATACTATGGCTGTAAGAAATATGTCAGGTACAATCAAAAGCTTCCTTTAGTGTACAAAGAATTTTACTCTTTGGTCAGGAGCATTGATTAGAGTTGGAGCCTACAGTACTGCTGGTTGGCATAATGGCCTTTGGCCTTTGGCAAAGTCAGAAGAAATGCTGTTCTTGAGCTTGATGAGGACATTTGTCCTTCTGCT